AGTATTTATTTCGTACTTTTCATACTTAGCTTTGCATGGACAGGAACAACTTAGCTAACTTATTTAGTATCGTCAACGACAACCAAGTTTCTCTTCTATAAGTTTTTAGTAGGTAATACTAAGTAATAATTTATTACCTATATATTTTTATGAAATCTCAACCAGTTTGTTTTTCATTTCAGATATTATTTTTACGTATACGTTTATTTCTTATCCTTATACTTTGAGTTCACAATTTTTTTGTCCCAAACTAGTAATTTTCGAAATTCTCAGTTTTAGCCATTAGGTTAGACACTACATAAAAGCCTGAATACTTATTGATTAATTATTTATATTTTTTTTATTAAAACTAACATACAAATAAGAAAAGCGGACTTAAAATCTACTTAAAAGTCCCGGCCCTGGGCGGGAGGAATAATTTGATAATTTTCCCCTCACAAAAAAAAAGGGAGTCACAATTTAACAGGTGAAATATGAAGTTATTTTGCAAGGATAAGTGCACCTACCAAATCACAAACCAAAATCTGTGACATTACGTTATGGCATAATAAAAGTCTGTGTATTTTGTATTTATAAACTATATTTTACGTACACAAAATATGTAATACAATTAATAATTTGTGAATAAATATTATTTTTGTTATTTTTATCATTCTAATCTCTGTGAACCAGCAGTAAAGGCTTATTTATTTATTAACTAGCTGACACGACAGACTTCGTTCGATTTTATATTCTTTGCAAAAAAATATCCTGAATAAAACCTGGTCACCTGGTCACCCTGGTAGTAATTCGGTGTGAATTATAAAATTGTTAAATAAAACACAACACTATAGGCATTTAAAAGTAAGTAACTTTAATAATGTAAATCATAATTATTAACAAAAAAAATCTGTTCTATTTTCATTGTAGTGCTTTTTAATTAACGATGTTTTTTGTTTTATTACCTGGCGCATAGACAAACAAATCTGATGGTTTTCTAATACGGGAATAGGCAACATAGACAATTAACCATGTGAGAGACATGGGTTTTCCAAATTAATACCACAAACACTTGATGATTCAATCAAAAATTGTTTTTAATTGGTACAATTGGTCAAAGAAAGAGTCGGAGTGCAGTGTTTTTTTACTCTTGGATATGATGGATCCATTTGCACAATAAATTCTGCGAGATGGCCGTTGGTGATGATGAGTATAGTGGACTTGAAGTTATTATCTCCAACATAAGGTGTGATTCACCATCTGTAAAAAAATATTTATTTAAATACTAATAATAAAATATCATTCTGAATTTATCTGTAAAAGTGAGGATAAATAAAAGGTAGGTAATTTAAAAATAATAAATACAGCAATACTCGTTTAACAAACCTTTGTTATTAGATACGATTTACTAGTAATTACTTAGTATAACTTTTCTATAGCTCTAAAGTTTTGGAAAAAAGAAGCTCATGAAGTACCTATAGAGGGCAACAGAGCGACAAATCTAAACAGGGGTTATTTTATTGCTTTTTGGAGACATTAGTTACTGGAAACCCGAAATATTTATTTGGTAACTATAGATACAATCATTCTTTACATCTTGTATTGTTACCTTAATTGCCGACACCATCATATTTATTTGGAAATAATGTGATGATATGACATGATATGACAATTTAAAAAAATTTCATTATCGTCGCTTTGCTTTATTTCTTGCAGATGTTTTAAAAAAAAAAATCTTTGTAAAATGATTCGTATCGGTGCGCATTTTTCTGTGAAAGATTCTTGCATTTGCTTGACTTGCTGCTGAGTCATCTGTAACTACTTCATATGGAAATGTGTGTATGTGTGTGTGTGTGTGTGTGTGTGTGTGTGTGTGTGTGTAATGTGTGACCGTCAGAAATAAATTGAGATTCAAGGCATAGCAGAACCAAAGCGGACTCAACTATCACCCTGGAATATACCTCGTTCTATCCTTAAACGCTCGCTATTCGTTTGAAAATGTCAAAATCCCGGATAGCGAAGCACCGTACTCCATTGCCACATACAGAACATCAGGAAGGTGCGTAGTGTTTTATCAATTTTATACAATTCCAGCACCTTCATGAGCCATGTATAAGGAACAGATTCATAGGGCTTCTTATAATCTATGCTACATGTCGACATAATTCTTTTCGGGAACGTCGAGCCTATTGACTAATGGTCATATCAATGAAGAGTACCTCCTTAGTACCACGGGACCCTTTCCTACATCCATTCTGAGCAGTTGACATGCTACGGCCGCGCAGTACCTATATTATGCTTCATATATATGTCAAGTGTGGTCTGTGTTCGGGTGAAATGTATAAATGTCGAAAACGGTTCGCGGTCAGGTTGTTTCCTCCCTCTGTAGCCCCAAAGTAAGCGCGCATGACGTTCTCGTTTATAGATTGCGTCCATCGCATGCGCTGCACACTTCCGCCGACGGCTGGGAATCAATATTGGACAGGGGCTGGGCCATAGTATTTCCATAGTTCTAACCTACCAGTTCATAGCCAACCACATCCATAACCATATAATTTTCTACCATATTTCACAATAGTCCGTCCTGCATTAACCGGGGATTGTCCTTGGGTGCACTTTTATAGTGCATACCCCATGTCCCAAGATTTATATTAAAACTGTTCAACGGGCCTCTGCGAGTTGGCTTCGGCCCCTCGTATGCCTTCCAAAGGTCCGGGACCCTGTGGTCCCGTGATAGGAAAGAACAAACAAATAATATCTTCTCTTGCAACACTAAACTTGTCAAAATCAAAATATTTATAAATCGTCGACAGACACGTAATCGGTCTACAATTTTTAGGTTCCGTGGATACAACCAGATTTATGGAGCAGGTGGGTGAGACCTGTTGTAAAGAATTGGGGCAAAGACCCAGACTCCAATGCTGATTGGAATTGGGTCGCTAAGCGACTATGTGAATTCATAAACCATTTTATCCAAAAGTTATGCAGCCCGTCCGGGCCTGGAGCCAACGTGTAGGCTGCATTTGATAAGTCTTCTCGGTGCTGATCTTAATTGAGTTCATTTGTGGTATCAATTCGCATTTTCCCTTGACCTCCTCAATCCAATCACCCCCGGCACGTGTCAGTTCTTGCCTGTTCTTTTCGCTTCCAATTTCTATACATCCACCGTTGATCCGTTTGGAATGCGCGATTCTGGGTCCTGGGTATACCGCTCTGCTCGTCTTTTATATCGGCGAATGCAGTTTGCCCGCAAGTCAACACGCTCCGTGATGTGGGATGCGTAATTGAGGCAAAATGGCAGTCCCTAAAAACGCCCTCTTTCCGAATCGCATTATCCACGGGCGAGTGTTGCCCTCCCTATAACAGATCAATTTGGCAATAAGTGTTCTGACCTCGCCATTACGCCGTTCAAACCTGCACTGCCAAGCAGGTACAGCTGGTTTTGGTCGTGTAGCTTTATTGTCGCTGTCTGGTAATTTGACATTTACCATATTATTATGACATGCCGCTATAGCTGCATAATACAGAATTTAGTGCGTATTAACGAGATCTTTGCTGTTGTCCGAATAATAATATGTTGGTAACTGTGAGTCCAGAGCGCATATGATCGCTTTATTCTTTTTATGCATAGGCAAACGAGGCAAACGCGGTTTCCAATATGCGTGTCGATATTCCTGAATCGCACCCTCCAAAGCTCTCCTCAATTCATCACTGCATATGTGAGTACTTAGTTCTATCATTATTCGGCACATCAGTTGAGTTTGATTATAACCTTTCTGTAGTTTGCGATGGCGGAATGCCGACGCGGCTCCTTAATACTTCACTTCGCAGTCAATCAAGTACGACGTCTTCCAACATTCGATTCCGCTGGATGACTCGTACCTGATCCGATAATCGTTGTGCAGATACGTTGACGAATGGTTCGAACACCTGAAACAGAGCAAGCATTATGACACGGTACGCAGTCAGGTTATTTCCTCGCTCTGTTGCCCCAAAGTATGCGCATAACATTTTCATTTATGAATGCAGTCCATTTTATGCGCGACACACTACCACCGGGCTCTGGACCCCTCCCGAGGCCGATGGGCCTCGTGGTCCTATGCCACTCGGTGGCCGACGTTCTCTCCTGCGACTTGGAAATAGTGGCGATGTTAGCGGGGAGAAGAACTCGTCGCTGGAACTCGACACCACTGCGGTCGTCGGTGGTATCCCTGTATCTGGATCCGGTGCCGACGATGGTGGGGCGGAACTGGGCGGCGAGGTTGGAGATGACGGATGTGTCCTTTGTGCATATGCAGCTCTAGCTTTTGCTCTCGTCAACATTATGTGTTTTTATTTATATTAACAGTTTTTCTTTTTGACATTTGTCATCACATACGTCATTATCTTGAATTATAATTTTTGTATTTTATATTATTAAGTTAGTACCAAATAGTTGATCATTTAAACTTCCATAATATGTAAAATTGTACGATAAAAGGTAAAAAGGTCCAAAATAAACAGTATAAGATATTATATAATACATTAAAAATTTCACAACTTGTTGATAGTCAGTTACTGTTATGCCGCAATTTTATTACTATTATTATTTATAAGTATTATCTGTATTATCTCTTGCGGGTCAAAATTATCTCACTGGATGTAAACTTATGTAGATGAGTTGAAAAAAATAATTAAATACGTGTCAATAACGTAAGAATGTTCTTATTGCAGGTACATTCGTCTAGTTATGCCTTGCCGATCAATAATAAACAGGTAACAAATTTGCCCTATTTTTTGCTGATAAATTTAATTCTTAGCAAAATGTGTACATCACTGTGTCATATCCTGTAATAATCCATTTAAGATGTAATATTAAGGCAGTTTTTTTTTGTAAATGACTACTTATTTATGGAAGGGATGTTGGATGTTGATCATTGCTAGATTTACAGGAACATTTTTGTAATGTGTTGCCGATAAGCCTCTCTTTTCGCATACCGACAGCAGTTAAAATTGTGACTAAATTATTTTATTAGCGTCCCCTTATATTTATTAATCCACGCCATTAACATAAAGTCTCAAATACTATTAGTAACGTAAAATATAATTGATCTATACAATATTATAAAGACGTAAAATTTGTAAGTTTGTATGTAGGGGGTAATATTTGGACCCGCTGGTCGAATTTCCAAAATTCTTTCACGGGTAGATAGCTTCAATATTCCTGAGTGCTATAGGCTATAAACATCACGCTAAGATCTGTAGGAGCTGAGCAGCGGTTGAAACCGCGTGAGAGTAGCTAAGTAACATATAATTTGATAGTTTCATTGCCGAATCCAAAGAATTTTGCAATTTTGCTACTTTAACCATTTTGATTCACATCACATCAGCCTATATGTAGGTACCCACTGCTGAGCAAGAGCCTCTTAACACAAGGAGAAGGGGTTGGAGCATAAATCACCACGCTTGCTCAAGGCAGAATGGTGGATTTCAAACTTATAATTAGAAATTATAAGTCCAGGTTTCCTCACGATGATTTCCTTCACCGTTTGTCAGTGGTGCCTAATTAATAATAGCAAGTACATATAACTTGGAAAAAGTCACATTGGTACTTGCCAAGTTTCGAACCTGCGCCCTCATGCATGAGAAGCGGGCGCTTCAACCTCTGGGCCACCACGACCAAAAACAACACACTCCTAAGATTTTGATTGATTAAACAGTTATAAAGGTACTTACATTGTGATATTTTTTCTTATTAAAGGTGCACTTCATCGAATAGAACAGCACAAGTCCAGGTGTCCTCAGAAATTATATCTGTAATCTGAAATAGTAAACACGTTAATACCCTTTGTTACTTGATCAACTAAATTAATGACAACATTATTTAATCACGATTTCATTTCGAACTTTTTTAAAACCTTTGACGAAGTATGCCGTGCATTTTAAACTAACATATTTTTCATTACTTCAATTTTGTACTGTAGGTATTTACATTTTTTCAGCCAAGGTAAGTGCAACTAAAGTCATAAGTTTTTATTTAATGATGGTAAACAAAAAAGGTACTTACATTCTTGAATATCTCCATTTGCCTTCTTCTATCAGCTTGAGACATCGCGATTTCTAGATTACTGTCTGAAAAATGAAGTAATAAACAATTTAAATAATGTATTTATGTCACAGTAAATATTTTGTTTTACTGCATCGTTGCTTTTCTTATTAATAGCAATTGAGGCTGACATTTCATTATATTATTACGGTGTATATTTGTTGAAATATTCTCTTTAATATATGGATTCTGGTACTGTCCGCGGTGAATACCAATAGGCTTAGTTTTGTATCACATACAACTCATCAAACATCTAGGACTAGGTGTATGTAACTTTATCGTCATATTATACTAAGTTAACAGCAGAAAATGTGGTTTATCTCACCTTAGTACCAATTTTCGTACTCATCTACACATTTTCCGGCGCCCACGCAGTTACAGTTCGGTGCGAAGCTAGGTTTCTGATAAAATTTTTTCATTATCTGTAACATACACCAATTTATTTTATGTATTTAATATATTCGTTTGCTCAAATTCGTTACGTGACTTTTGTATTACAAAACTTCGAACAAAATATGTACATATATTAATTGCTACAAAATTTACAATAATATAAATTACGACAAAAATTGATATTTATGACAAATTTCATAAATTGGATTTGAAGTAGAATCTCACTCGGATGGGATGCGTTCGAGAAGTTACGCGATGTCTTCTCATTGAATATCCTACACTGCCTGAAGACCAGGATGTTTAGTCAGCGTGTGTTGCCGGTGATTACTTATGGTACTCAGACGTGGTCTCTGAAAAGCTTACAGTCGCTCATTGTAGTATGGAACTATAAACTATGGGTTATGCTCGGGGTCGCATTGCGTGACAAAATCCAAAATGTAGAAATCCGCCAAAGAACAAAAGTTACCGACATAGCTTAAAGTAAAATCTGCTATAGTGGCGAAAGGTATGTGCCATGTCGCTCGAAGGAAGGACGCCCGATGGGCCCGAAAAGTAGTAGACTAGCTACCAAGGACCAGAAAATGTAGCGTGGGCAGGCCTCCTGCTAGGTGGACCGATGATATCGTCGGAGTTGTGGGGAGCCGATGCATGCAGGTGGCAAATTCTCGTTCGACGTGGAGAACTAACTCTTCCGGCTGATGATAATTACACGTAGGCAGACCATTTATTTATTTTCACAGAAATAAAAGTAAATGTGATAATATGTTAAAACATAACTATCGAGATCGGACTAGGTCACGCGCGACCAAGGGAAATCAGGATTTATTTGTGTGTAGATAATTTTTAGTACCTTATTATTATTATTTTTCCAGCAGTAGACCTTGTCTCATTTGTAATTGGGGTAACTGCAAATGAGTCTCCCCTATAACGGCATATCTGGAACATATTATGAGTTCGTTAGTTAGTTCATTAAATCGAAACAAGCTAAGGATTGCAAATTGGAATAAAATATGCAGGAGAAAGATACATCTTTTTGTTTCGAACCAGAATTTCTTGGAATACTGCAGGGATATTTTTTTCAATATATTAATTACAATTTAGTTATACGGAAATATACGGAGAGTAAAACTACTAATTCAGAACATTTGTTTACAAGAATGAGTACGCAACATAACCTTACCTTACCTCTAGGTCGTTCGCGTTATTTCAGTATTAATAATTGCACAAATAATACACAAATTATTTCATATTTACACACCAAAGAGCAAGCAAGACCACAGCTTGATTAGTGGAGATGTATGGATTTTAAAACACAATATAAATTATTCCTATTATCATTTTATAGGTTATGGCTGTAATGGCGCCGAAATTAGAATCACAAATCATTGAAATTTACTGTTTTAATTAATATTTGAAATTATCGTAATTTTTGTCATTATATGGACCCAAAAAAATACTTGACAGGACAATATCGAAAATATTTACGTTGTTAAGAAGATATACCTCTCAGCACTTGCCGCTATATTCATGTGAGAGTCCGTAGTGAAGTTATGTGTATTTTAATGACACTAAAGACGTTTTACGTTTAAATGTATTGTCACTTTTTCTAGCTCAACATTAGCTTTCAAATAATCTCATTAAAAAAAGAGAAATAATTTACATTTCATAGTAAATATTTTAGACCATCTCCTCCTCGTTATTATAGTCTGTAGCATTATCGGTATTTTCACTTACTTTTTATATAATAAAACAAAACATATTAAAATTAAATAGAGTGTGTTGTTTGTGTGAATTGTATAGTAAATAAAAGTATAATTTTATTATCATACTCATTGTTTTTTACATCATTTTGTAAATGTAACGAGGTACGTTTAGTTGCGTTCCAGGGATTACAAAATTGCGTGTTAAGAAGTGAATAATTTTATATTATTTACACCCATATTATGTATTTCATTTGTTTTGATTATTATTTTACAATTAAGGAATAGAATTAAAAAAGTAAACCCTGTTAACTTTTAAAGTTTACTGAAGTTCCCATCATCCCACCCATTCCCGAATACTAACTTTCTCAATTCCCAAATCCACAATCTGCTTTCCGAACGACGAAGGGTATCTTTACTAGTTCTGTTGCTATGGCACCACTAGTTTAAATGTTGCATGGGCCCATTTTTTGCATAAAATGCGATACATAATATATTGACTGATCAAAATTAAACTAATTGTTTTATTGATTGGTAGGTTCCAATCAACACAATAATTGTAGTTAGGGTATGTGAAATTATAGAAAAAAGAATATTAAGTACAACATTTATTAAAAATACAAGAAATATTACAACAGTATTGTCAAATGTAAAGTAAGTATCAATCAACATTAAATATGTATTTTCTGGAAGGAATTGAGACATTGCGTTATTTCTCCAGCATAAATTTAAGTTACCTTGTAATCTGTTGAAGATAAATAACAAGATATGTAGATAAATATAACACGATCAAAGATGTTTATCTTTAATGGGGCCGTACAAATAATATTTTACTCTGACAAAGACTATTTTTCAATAACAGGTAGACATAAAATTCATAAAGAATTAAGTATTACCAACCACAACAATTACAACAGTTACAAACAGACAACATTAATATTATTAATATGGTATCTTTACAACAACGATAAAGTAATTTGACTTAATCACAGCTATGTGATCTTATCAGCAGGAGGAAATGATTAGTACACGGTGGCGGTGAGTCCATGCAAGTAATTGGCGGCGGTAACCTCTGTCGCCCAGCTTTAGTTCAGGCCATGGTACGGAGTGACAGGAAGGGGAAAGTCATATCTTTCTTCTGCGAATCAGTAATATGCTAGCTAAGGTCGTGACGGGGTTTGAGGCAACGATCCATCCCACATCCTAGCCACGTCGGAGTTGGGGCAATCATCTCCGCCGTAAGCGCAGGTTGCGGACGGCGCTAAATTCACTAAAATAAATGCAAAGAATTTAACATCAAATAGGTACACGTAGGGAACACCAACAACTACGTATTAATGTGACGACAATCTAAATTCCACATACAGTGGTCGTGAGTTTTTTGCGAAGTCGGCTGATCTGATGTACTCGCTACATCATCCGGTACCACGGCCTTTGGCTTGGATTTCTTAGATTTCTTCTTCTTAGTCTTGGCCTTTGCCTTCGATTTGCCGTCAAGGCGAAGCGCTTTTAGGGCCGCAACTAGTCCCGACGATACACGACCTGACTCATAGTTTCTCTTTTGCTTATTTACGTTATGCTTCTTCTTCTTTCTTTTTTTCAACTGTGCCTTGTCGTCCGTTTCTGGAAAGTACGAAAACGGTGATAATTTACGAAAAATAGAGTGTGGGAGAGCCATGTTTCAGCACGACTGGGTCGACTCGACCGGAGTGATACCACGGCCACATAGAATACCGACGTGAAACAAACAGAGCACTGTATTTCGCCGTGTGAGCGAGTTCACTGGAGGCCCAATCCCTCCCCCTCCCCCACCCCTTCCGAGTCCTAAAATATCCAAAACCCTTATCCCTAAAAGCATTTTTAACTTCTTTGGTGTAGCGGGTGTCCATGGGCGGCACCGGTCGCTTATAATGAGGCAATCCGCCTGCTTGTGAAAAAATGAGAAACAAAAAACGAGTGGGCCGGGCCGGCCGGAATGATACCTCGGCTGAAAGGAGCCCGGGAAGAACTCAACGCTTGCATTGTATTTAGCCCCATGAGGTTACCAACTCCTTCGCAATCTCCAACCCCCAAATCTCTAATCTCCAATAAACGAAAGATTGTTCTCAAACGGCTAGCAAACCAATGTGACTTCTTTGACAGTGCTAATAGCTTCCGATAAAGGTAATCTGAGGGATCAGCCTCAGCTCGTTTGCTGTTCTGTCACAATTAATCAAATACAAATAATGAGTTACTTAATTTAAAAAATACAGTCGCACATTAAAGATTAATAATTATTCGCTTTCGATTAAGATATTGGCACACATTGCGCAGCTGATAGTAGTAAAAAGATATAAATTCAAATACTACGCATCTATGTAAGTACCGCTCTACGATTCAGTATGGCTGCTCAAATTTTCACAATGTTTATAGCGCTTGTTTGTAATTGTCTAAGTTTGTAAATGTATGCTAAATACTGACCTTGTTTAAGTTTGTTCATCTTGAAATCTTTAGAAGTTATTCTAAAAGTTTAAATTAGCTGAAATTGTTATTAGTGTTTAACGTTGGTCTTTCAGCGTTTTCCAAAGGACTTATCGATTGAATTTTCGCGCATGTGCAGTTTAGACTCGTATATATAAATCAACCATTGGAAAGTAATGTTAAGATGCATACAGTCTGGCCAGAGTACGCGATAACGTAGCATAATTAACATAAACGATTCGGTCGTTTTTGTTAACGAGACGGTGCTGCAATACGAAATCAAGTGAAGTATGAAAAGTTTATGAATATTTTATGTAACTTAATAGGGACATCGGATACGGTCGTGAATATATTAAATAAAAAAAAAATACATATGTAAATTGTTTCTTTGTGACATTACATAACAATATCAGTATTATTAAATGTTTTTCCGCACTTCCTCCATACGGTTTGTCTGTGTATGTTTAAATATAATATTGTTGGTTTATCAGAATTTAACTTTTTTCTGTCTTTAACAATGCCCGCCTTTGAATATCGTGCTCCATAGTCAGAATAGTAAAAGTTTTACGAACAGTAGGGCCATTAAATTTTGTTATTCGGTTGCTTCTACATAACTATGAATGACGTTTCAACGAAAACACAAATAGATGTAACTTTTGCATAAGTACTAAAAAACGTGCTTATTTTTGTTGAGTGTATAATCATCTTAAAAACTTTATTGGCTGTTGTATTTTTAATTCTATCCGTAGGGTTGGCTATATGTTTATTTACGATAAGAAATTTTCGTCTATGGTTCAAATAAGTAAAATTCGATTTCAAATATTGTCATAATCGACTAAATATTGTTGTGATGAAATCGGTTTTTGTTATATTTTGCTTATTATATATGAAGTAAAAATTTGCAGAGCCTAGCGAAAGCTCGTTTATTTAATAATTTTTGATGAATATTTGTATAAACAAAATAATATACTGATATATTTTTATGAGTTTTTATTTTATTATTCAGTATTTCAAAAAATGCGTTTCATGTAAAATGGCATTAATTAAATGAAAGGTAATCTTTTTTATAAAAAAATATTTAATCATAGCTTTTGTGAAAATTTTAACTTCAAATTTTCTCTTAAAATTTTCTCATGGTAACTTTTTGTTACAGATAGTATTGATCTTCCAATTTACATGCATTCGGTACATTACATACTATGTACGCCCTAGTGATTCGTAAAATTATTTACTTAAATATTTTTTGAAGATACAAGTCATTCTTAATTCTTCAGCGTGAAAGTAACTAGTTATACTTTTATTCACAACTGAATTGCGGTATTGTACAGAACCAGCTGCAGGACATCCCTGATCAGGTATTGTTAATTGACGCCATTGCGCAGCAAATATATTTCGCCTAAGAAACATATCCTCGGAACAAAGTATCAAATTTTATTTTTTGTTAAAGGAGCCAGTGATATTCTCGGAAGAAGTCAGTTTGTTCAGGAGTCTACCTGAATCCCACTCCGCCGTCGAAAGCCGGGTATTTTGCGGTTCGCTCATCTACATACATCCAATACTTTATATCTAATGCGTCCATATTTAAGACGCTGGAAAGCGCAAATATTTCGCAAATTTTTGAAATACAGCATACCAGTCCTTATCATCGTAATATTTTTCTTTATAGTATCATTTATGTTAGGTAAACATGTCCGTATCAGAGTAATGAACGCTCATCGGTATGCTGCTTTGCAATAATTTTGTCTTACTTACCGTTCAGTCTCTTTAACATAACTATGGGTTTTTTGAGTTTTGCGAAGCAATACACTAAACATATTAAACGCAATCTGCTAAATATGGCGCGACCTGTAAGCCGCACATATAAAAAAATTATAATCTTTTTTTTAATAATGATTTGTAATGGAATGTTATCCATTATGGATGTTTTGGAAACGCATCTGTTTAAAATCTAAATGGATTATTAAAATGGTACGACTAAACGCGGTCATTTTGGGTAAAATTGAACTAAATCGATATTACAAGATAACGATATATACAAAGAAACAGCTACCTTTGTATCACAATAGAAGGAAAGAAAAATTTTATACATTTTGAAAAATAGTGTATTTTACAGTGTTAACATAATGATGATTCAAAAATTAGAAATTTTTCCACTCAGTTGCCTAGCTACTGCGCCAAACCGTGCAGTCAATCTCTGTAAAGACTTTGATACTACATATACTGTAACTTCTATTTTACCCAAAATGATTGTACTAGTTTCTATGTGTTATGTCATATAATTGTTCTTGTATTAAGTACTATTATAATGTATTAATGGTGTTGTACTAGGTGTCAACTGCACTAAAATATGTTATTTGTTAGTGTTATTATATGTTTCATTAGCGATTAATTATTATATGAAGATTTTAAGCCTACTTCAATTTGTTGTTAAAATTATTATTACCTATGTTTTTTCTGTGTAATTGTATTATTCCTCATGTTGTATGCTTTAAATGTGCTAAAATACTGTAATTTCAAAATTGATATCTAACAAAATGTGTTGTCGTAGATGGTAGCAAAAATGCGTTGTCACAGATAGTAGGAACAAGTGTAGAACTCGTGAATAAAATGAATAAAAAATACTTCATATTCTTTTATTTCATATTTATTTATACAAAGTACAATGATTTAATATTACACTTATTGCCAGGCGTGCAAAAACCTGCAGGTGCTTACTGCTTTAATAGTTTTCATAATTTTCTGTTCTATCTATTATCTAAAAAGTATTTTACTGAATAAGGCTCTTAAATAAATTACCTGACAAAAAAAGAATTATCACTCATTTTTAGAAAATAATATTTCCTTTAATAGAGATATGCTAAATTTGGATCAATCGAAGAAAGGCATAGCGTTCATTTCCCATTATTAATACCTTTAAAAATTAAATGTTGATATTACTAATAAAACTTCAAAGATAAGAAAACATTATTTTCTTATTTTGATTGTCAACTTACTTACATAAATTATTTTTATAAACTTTTCATTAAGCCCTAAAGAAACGTTTATAAAAAGACGCTGTCGCAATTAAGATACTTTTTATACTGTTCGATAAATGGTATCTAGAAATTATATATGTATAGTGTACATACATTTGCACTTCAAATCAACCAGGTATTCTTATATACTCAGACTAGCTACTCTCGCGCGGTTTCACCCGCTGCTCAGCTCCATTTAATCGTAGCGTGATGTTTCATACCCTATGGCACGCAGGAACATTGTAGCTATCTATCAGTGAAAGAATTTTGAAAATCCGACCAGCGGTTCCAAATTTTACCCGCTACATACAAACTTACAAACTTACAAATTTTACCTCTTTATAATATTAGTATAGATATTCAAGCAAACATAACTTACTGTCTTTGACAATTGTCATTAAGAGAAGCATTGCATACAAATTTTAATTCTTCGATTTCTATGAAATACATACATATACTTATCTATCCCAAGGTTGTTTCTTTTGCTAACTTATTGTCAATTTCAGTCAAATATTCCAATTTTATTACATTCCATATACGAAATGAATAACAGATAAGTGCAAACGCTGGCGAATTCTGTATCATGCCATGTCTGTTTGCCAAAAAACTAGACAGAGAAGCACATGTAAATTTTAACACCAATTTTTCATCAGTCAGTAGGCTCATCGCTTATTGCATGTAGCTCACAAAATGATTTCTTTTTTAATGTAAAAGTTACAGTAACGATTTTTATAGCATCTTCTAAAACTGACTAAATTAATTTATTTTGATATTTCTCATAATGCAGTTTACTATCTGTAATTTAATTAAGGAAGGGTTACACTAGCATTGAAAACAATAAGTGTGTCATCAAAAATATTTATTATTGCAATATACAGTTAGGGTACGGTGGTTACACACATAAAAATAGTCCTTAAGACCTCGGGAAGCTTTAATGTTTACAATTTTGTTATTTACTCAAGATATTCCTTTCTTAGAAACTTAACAATTGGGTGATTTGAAATCGTCCGAGGGAGTTTGCTTCCCCCACTACTTACTGTGTTTTATCGGTGGACTGTAGGTTCGTTGAAATGTGAACTGCATCCGCAATTCAGACGGCTCAAGGAGCTCGGCCGGCATGGCCAAGCTCGCGGTGTTGTCTCATATACTCCACTCCATTCAATCATATCTTATCATAAAGTTATCTAAACACTATAACTTATATATGTAAACTTAAATGTTATAAATAAATTACATTTTATTAATTTTATTTTAACTTTAAGATTTATTTGGGAACAGACGTCACAAACAAAGTCTAAAATATTTTGTCTATCAAATATGTATGTATGCAATTGTTGTGGTAGAACTGAAGTTACGGCGCCTCGCTTCTTATTCAAAGGGTGACTTCTTCCAAGTTAACTGTTTACGAATATACACCATAATAGTATTATTCATTTGTTTTTTTATTTTTATTTTATATTTCTTCCTTCCCATTCACGGGATCATAGGATCCCGGACCTTTGGAAGGCGTAGGAGGGGCCGAAGCCAACTCGCAGAGGCCCGTTGAACAGTTTTACTTTCAATGTGATGGGACATCAGCCGGAAATTAACCCTGTATGCACCATAAATGTTTGCAAATAATAAGTTCACACAAGGACAATCCCCGGACGATGCAGGACTGTTGTGCAATATGGTAGAAAATTATATGGTTATGGGTGTGGTTGGCTATGAACTGGTAGGTGATAATTATGAAAATACTATGGCCCCTGTCCCTGACCAATATTGATATTGATGTATGTTATTATTTACTTAATTATTAATTTATACTAAATTATTCTCCATTGTATCACATGTTCCAAAAAATCAGTAACTTTTGAAGCATTAGCAAAAGTTACGATGGTAGTAAAGAGCTACGACATTATTACTTCAGCGTAGCGATTTACTACGAACAGTTGATACTTGCGTAGCACATTGCTACGACGTTATCGTGTCTATATAAAATAAAGATAACATTATTGTTTCTTTC